AGAACTACTGGGATTAACAATATCAGAAAAAGGAGCGGCACCCAGAGCCTTATTTACCATTTTTTCTCAACTGTCTAATTTTAACTTCACTTTTACTTCTTTTCCACCTATTATTCTGTTAATTTCTAATTCTCTACCGCCACTTTTGTTTTCTAATATATCTAATACTGTCTCTTCTACTTCTGATAAAACTTCTCCTTTTATTTTCTTTCTCAAATAACCATTTATTAATTCAACTCTCTTATTTTCTTGCTTGGTCTCTTTAAGTGTTTTGTTTTTTAAATTATCGAGTTCTTTTTGCTTTACTTCTAATTGTTTACTAATTATTTCTGATATTTTTTTTACCGGTTGAGCATGAAGAATATATGGTTCGGCTTCTGCTTCATGGATTTTCTTTAATAAGTCCTGATTTTGTTTTTTTAAGTCCTCAAAACTTTCTTTTTTTATTCCAGCCAACTGAATTTCTTTTTTTAATTCATCTAATTCAGTTCTTAAATTAGTTAGCGAAGCAAAAGGTTTTCCATCTTTGTCTAATAAAGGTTTTCAAGTTTTAGTTTTTTCATCATATTCAAAACCTACTTTGGATTTTAACTCATTTATCTCGGCATTTAATTTTTTTACTTTATCTTGTAAATTTTTAGTCTCCTCTATTTCTTTTGGGGCGAGAATAGTGGCAACTGGAGTAAACAAATCTTTATAGCGAGTTTCTACTAAATATTGTCAGTATTTGCTAGAAAAAGATATAGTGTTATCTGGATTACCTTGAAAAGAATAAACAAAACAGCGACCACTAGCAGGATAATATTTTTCTTGATAAACTGTTTTTCTCTTTTCTATTTCTTTTAAGTATTCGTCTCAATTTTCGTAAGGCATGATTTATTAATAGATTTTAAAGCAAAATAACTTATAAATAAGTTAATTGTTTCTACACAATTTTACACACTTTATTCCTTGATAGTTTCTTTTTTCTTGTCTTTTTGCTTTTGCTGAACTTTATCATGTAAACTTTGATGAATATTTTCTTGCTGGCTAATATTATTTTGTAAATATTGTTGGTTCATATCCATCATGTTTTGTAAAGGGGTAAGTTGGGGCATTTCTAACGGGACAAAAATTTGTTCGGTATTTACCATACTTTGAATCTGAGTCGGCATTTGTAATTGGTTAGTATTTAAAGTATTGGTGTCTGGCAGCATCATTCCGCCACTACTTAAAACTTGGGCTCAAGCAGGGTTAGTAATTGGCAAGCCACCGCCCCCACTGCTGCCACCAAAACTATCAGGGGGGTTGTTGCCTCAACCTTCTATGCCGGAGAAACCTTGAATATTAACAGTAAATTGCAAATTTAAACTATTAAAATCAACTTCCACTTTTTGAGTTAATATTTTAATCCCCTTAACTTCTTTAAACAAACAAATACCATCGCTATATCTGTCGAGATCTTTTTTTAATATCCAAGTGGTATGTTCGGGGTCGTCAGCTTGGTAAATTTCCTCCTCATCACTATCACCTTTCATGTATCGGCAAACAATAGTTCCACTACCTGTGCCGAAACGATATTCTTCATCGGGCTTCCCGAAAGCGATCTTTTGATAAGGCTTATTTTTGTAAGCCTGATAATCAGACCAATTTAGTTTTATTTTCTCACTGGCTCCTTCTCGATATTGGCAAAGATAGCCATTTCCACCCCCTGTGTAGCCTCCACCATAATCAAAAGAACCATCAAAATCTTTACGCTCGGCATTAGGAGCAGATATAGTAGGCTTCCCTATTGTATAGCCTCCTTCCCGGCCTACCGGAAGAGTTCCGCTCTCACATCAGAATCCAGCAAAAGCATAAGTGTTAGAACTGTGTATTCTGTCAGTAGTTATTACTTCTTCCGTTCGGGTTAAATCAAAATCGGTATGACTTCCTTCTCTTTGAAAGCCAAAAGTCAATTCCCCTTTAAATCCTTCAAAAAAATCTTTGACAGTTCGATGGTAGACTTTATGACTTCTTCTCAATTGATAAACAAATTTGTCCTCTTCGATTCATTCTTCAATAAAAGGGTTCTTTTTGCCATAAAAAATAGTGTTTTCTCCTAATTGGATTCAGCCGTGTAAATCCTTCAAAACCCCTTCTTTACTATATTCATCATAGCCCTTGCCAACACACATGCCAAAATCTTTTTTTAAAGCAATTTCCGGGTCATTACCAAACCAAAAATCTCATTGGATTAATCTCCTATTCATTTCCGCTAATCAAAGATTTTGATAACGATAACTAGTGCGGGCTTCTACATAAAGAAGAGGTCAATGAGCCTTATTCTCCAAAAACTCGTCAATTGAACCACTATAATGACCACGACCGCCAAAAAAAGTTTTAGGTAAGGTGGAAAAAGCATGACCTACACTCTTGCCTATTGCTCCCCCAACTTGTTTTTTCATTGCCCCTCAAGCTTCGGCATTATTGTCTCTCTCCGCAAGCGTGGCAAGTTCTTCTCTCATGTCATTTGCAGCTTTAACGGCTGCGGAGGAGTTCATTGGAACAGCTCTATCTTTTGGATTGCCAGTTCAATCGCGAAAGGTAAGAACATCTGCGGCTCGGTTAATTGATTTAGCCCTGGCGGTGTTCATTGCTCCTTCTTCTGATACAGTAGCACAATTAGCCAGTCCGGAAATAGCAGCACCACCTGCGTTCAATGCCAAAGTGCCAATTGCCATAGCCGCCCATTTAGCTAATCCTCCGTCATTAGTATTCAAATCCTCTTTTAGCATACAATCATAATCCAAGTATTCCAAATATTGACCATAAAAAACTCATGCTGTCATGTGTCATGAAACATTATTGGTAAAAGAAGCTCCTCATTCAAATCCATAAACATTGCTCCCCGACATTTTCTCCACCCCATACATCTTAGCAAAATCTTCTCCATAAATCCGAAAATTGTAATAGCAATGAGTATATAGGTAATGAGCCGGCAAATTATGAGTATCTACTTCAAATCTTTTCTTGCTCTGGGTAAAACGAAGTTTATTGCCTGCATCATCTTTGGCATCATTACTATAACCATAAAAATAAGGTAAGATATAACTGCCTGCTTGGTTTCCAAACGGCCCCCCACCTCTATGATCCTCAGTAGCGAACTCGGAAAAGTAAATTCCGGACACTGAGGGATGTCTACCTTTAACAGATCCTACATCCGCTTGAAAATATTGGATACTACCACCGCCCAACATGTTAGTTCCATGACCAAAAGTTAAAACATTGGTAGCTACGTCAATTAAACCTTGACCAATAGTTCCTATTCCACCCATGAGACTACCAATTCCCTTTGACATCTTTCCCTTTGTAAAAATACTTCCTACATCATACTGAATAAATAATTTGTCGGAGTTATTTTCTACTTCTTGGCCGTCAACTCATTTTTTTCTTTTTCTTTCTTCGTGGTCAAATGTATCTACCATATTTTTTTCTTGATATCTTGATAATAGTTATTAAACGATTTTAAGTGAAATATAAAGAATAAAGAAAACTAACTTCTTCGATTTTCCAGATTTCTTAATCTATTTTCATAATCTCTAATGTTCTCTCTCAGTCGTCGTGCCTCATTTTCGCTTTCGACAATCCTTTGTCGCAACCTATTTTGCTCGCTAGTATTATTGTTACTAATCGCATTATTAAGTTGTGCTTGTAAATTATTATTGTTTCGTTCAATATTTTCTAATCTTTGCCGGTCAGCCTGTCGTTCTCTTTCATAGCGTTCGTATTCTTCTTTTTTGCCTTTTCTTCTTGCCATTTCTTTGCCAAAACCACTAATAGTCTTTTCTATTCTAGTCTTCATAGTATCATCAACCAAGGGTTTGGCATCTTTTAAAGATTTAATGATTTGTTCAATATTTTCGTCGCTTCTATTTTCTAAATCCCTACCACTATTAAGAAGGGCTTCTAAAACAGTTACGGATCTTTCAACTTTCACAGAAAAATTACGCTTAGAAGCCTGTTCGAGGTAAAGTTTATAATCAGAATCACTCACCCCAGCTTTATGATCAATTAACCTAAAATGGTCAAAAGCATAATCTTCACTTTTGCCTACATCTCCTTCGGTAGGACAAAAAACATGGGATTTTAAAGGTTCTTTTTTAATAGTTCCATCAGTATAATGAAGTTCATTTCACTCTTCTAGTTGTTGTTTAGTAAAGGGTCGTTTTTGAAAAGTTCAATTTCCTAATAATTCAAAAGCCCTCTGATATCACTCAGCGGAAAAATCTCTTTTTAAAGTAATTACCATCCGGTAATCGTTTACTTTTTCAAAATTAACTGGAAAATAAGTTTCATAATCCTGTCGTGTGTTATCTATTTTTTTTTCAATATGGTCGCGAAACTTCTTAAACTCGTTATAAGCATTCAATCTTATATCGCTGTAGTCAAGAATATCAAACTTATCATCCGGTCATTTATTAGCACCCTCATGGTTGAACTCGTCTACTACCTTATTTATCTCATTTAAATACTCCTCCTCATAAATAATCCTTAATTTTTCATGGGTATAAGTATACGCCGACAAATATTTTTTAACTAATCCTTCTACTCTTCGCAAAAAATCCAATTCATGAGGTTTAGGATTCTCTAAAGGTTTGGGATTGATGGGATTAGTATCTTTTTTCCACTCACCTTTACCACTATTCGCTGTCTCATCAAATATATAGCTAGCTCGTTTTCATCTGGCTTTAATAGCCCCTTTTAATCAGCCAAAATAAGGCAAATCCTCATTATAAGGTCGGACGAAAAAAGTAGCTTCTTTAAATCAATCCCGATACTGATAAGGTAATCAGCAAAGTAAGCGATTAGTAAATATTCATAAACACTTAAACTTTTGCAGATTAAAAACGATTTCCGTATCTTCTTCTAATTTCTCTCGTAGTTCTAATTTTCCGTCTTTTTCTGGAGCTTGCCTTTTGTGTAAAAGTTTCTGTAAATCTAAATAACCTTGGGGATCGGGTATTAATTTTCTATGCCAGTAGGCATTTTGAAAGACATAAGCGTCTTCAGTGAGATAAACCGATTGGGTGTAAACATCCAGAGTAGAAACTAAATTGCCTTTTTCTTTCCCTGACCGTCCGCAAGTAGGGCAGCCTGAGCCTTTCAAAAATTTTGCCATTATAATCAGTTGTGTTGCTTGTAATTTTCGTAGACAGCTTGGCGTAAACTGTAAGCCGAAATTAAAATAAGTTCATGATAATCATTAGCCTCTAACTCCAAGGCTAATTCTTGCTTGGTATTGTAAGTTATGCCGGAAATATAGCATTTGAATTTATCATCTACTTGGCTTTGGGTGCGGCTTTGGCTTGCTTTTAAAGTAATTTCCTTATAACATTCATCACAAATTAGTCAACGAGGACGAGTTAAATAAGCAACAAAATCCAAACTACATTCTGAATAATTGCGGCTTTGGCGACAGTGGAAGCAAAGAAAAGTATTGTTTTTTAGTTGAGGTTGATAATTATCCGTCATTATTTATTGATATATAGATTATTTAACAGCGACAATAAACACCAAAAACTAACTGAACTATTGAACAATCAAAGTCAAAATACCAGTCCAAACTATAATATCATTTAATTTTTTTGTATTAATTTTACACTATTTCCTAAAACATTTAACCATAAAAATAATGAATTGTAAAAAAGATAAGATAAAACTACCAATTGAAGTTCAGATAAAAATATCTTCTTTATGTTTTCGTCATCAAGTATTTTTGGTCTCCGACAAAATATTAGATTTATTTTTGCTTTTGAGCGGTGGTTCCTCTTGTTCGTTTATTACGACCATATAATACTTAATTTAAAGGAGTATATTACGGTAACTTTGAGTTAGTCGTAATTTTTAAAATAATAATATATAGTTGTCTATTGAAATCAATCGGTAGGTAAAAGGTGTTGGAAAATGCTAGTTACCTACCAAGTAACCTATCGGTTGTTTTGAATATTACAACGAAAATGGTAACTAGCAATTACTTAAAGCGGGCTAACTCCGCCAAACACTTACTAGAAAATTATATAAGAGATAGAGACTTGCTTTTGTTTCTTTGTTATAAGAAAGAAATTCCTCCTTAATTAATGTTAGCGGGAAATTATTCTTATTATAAAGAATATCTTACTAAAATAGATGGATTACTAAAAAACATTTTTCCCCTAGTAACTGTTTATTTTAGGAGATTTTTGAGACGTCAGAGATTCTCCGAATTCGTGGTATACAGCGAATATATAGGAATATCACAGAAAGCAAAATATTCGAAAGTTAAAAGTTAGCGCAAAACTTGCAACCTACGAGGCTATCGGCGGAATTATACCTGAAAATCCGATGGTGGACCAATGAGATAACAGGTCCAGTAATTACTTAAAGTGAAAACAACACAACCCTCTTTAATCAACTTTCGAAAAATAAGTAATTAAAATTATTTATCTTTGGGAAATTGATATATATTTATATTTTATACTTTTGAAGGATGCACTAGATAAAAAGTTTAGCATTCTTTTTTTAGCCTACGGCAAATTATCCATATATAATTTTCACTCCTCAAATAATTTTTCCAACTCTTTTATTAAAACTAACTCTACAGTTGTAATTTTGCCTTGTAGTAGGTTTTTTAAACTTTCGTTTTCTTGGTATTCTTTCATTGGTAATGTTTCTAATTCAAAATGTTTTTGGTTTTCATTGTATTTTTTTACCGGAATGCCAAGAGTTTTCTCTAATGAAATCATTAAAACAGCGACAGCGGACCAGAAAGTAAAAACCATTTCTGGATATTCACCCCTCTTCTCCTCCTTGATATTTCCTTTTCCTGAACCACCTGCTTCTCGGTCCACAATATTTTTTTCCAGTTAGTTATAAAAACTTTGTCAGTTTCTAATCATCATCTCAGTAAGTTGTGATTCTTCTATTTCTTTTTTCATCTTGGGGTCTCCGGATCGTTTCTCTCTCTCTCTCTGCTTGTTTTTGTTCGAAAGCAATTGGGTCTTTATAATATTCATAAATTAGGTCTTTTATGGCTTTTTTGTAATAATAATAATAATAAGAAGAAGAAGAAGAA